AAAATTAAATTAACTAAAAAATATTGAACCACTAAAATAACGACAATTGGCAATTGAGTTTCTACTTCTATGATTTTTTTTCTTAACTAGCAATAAACATTGAATCTCTCTCTCTCATTTTTGTTTTTAGATTTAATATTTGTTTAGCAAATAAAATTCAATATATGACGAGTTACGAATAAAAGAAACTATTATGATAAAACAATTTAAAGACTATTTATAGTTTATGTTTATTATTAGAAACTTGGAAAACAGAGTAGTCACAATATATTTCCTAGTTTGTTGAGATCTCTTACTACCCCATTTGAACTAAACTTCCTCGAATCGATCCTTCCAATACCAACCTTCACGAACTCAGTTGAGGACACTGAGCCTGAGTGTTTTTTCTATTGATTAAAGAGTTATTTACATTCAGACATATTTTTTCAAGACTTGTTTTGTAACAAAAAAATATTTTTGTGGGAAGCTATACTTTTGTAATGGTTATTGTCAATTATATCCTCTAACTAAAGTGTAACTAAAATTAAACTACACCTACCACATTATATCTTTATTTGTGGGATTTGTGGGTTTAATGTTGAGAAATCTTGATAAAGGGAATTCCTAAAATTGCTTAAGAATATTATATGACTAAGGAAAGATCTGATGAAGCATAGATGGAGGATGAGGAGAGGGAAGGAGAGAGGAAGGCGATGATGAAAGAAAATCAGATCTAAAGATTTCTCTTTAATTGGTTTCTCCTCGACCACAAATTATTATTTAGATGAACGGTCCAAATTATCTCTCATATAACTACATCTACTTTTTCTAACTAACAATTTACTCTCGTTTGAGGGTAAAGTAGTATTGATAAAAATCAAACAGTGCAATAAGTACACCCTCCACAAAAAAAGTATCTTTATTGTAAGCAAACTTTAAAAAAGTACATTTAGGTGTTAATAACCCTTGACTAAATCCATCAATCTTTTGCAATTTCTTTCAAAACTGATCTTTTAATACCCTTTACTAACAAAATATTCATCTAATCTATATAACCTCAACAAAGATATGCTAGTAGAGGAGTTATTATTACTTGATAAAAATGATTGGAACCTGGAGAAGATTGAAGCCATACTCCCTGGTCTGAAGCAGAATATCATGAACCTAAAGCCAAGCTCGATAGGGGCTAAAGATCAACATGCTTGGTTAGGCCACCTCTCAGGACTTTACTCAGCCAAATCTGGTTACCACACAGCCAAATAACGTGCCTCGCTGGAAGTAGAGATCAACCCACCTACTTTCAACTAGAATTCAGAGATATGGAACACAAATATCTCCCAAAAATTAAAGGTATTTTTGTGGAAGATTATGAGTGGAGCCTTACCAATTGGGGATCAATTGACCTCTAGAGGAATTATCAACCAATCACAATGCATCAGGTGTGGAGAACCTAAATATACATCTCATCTCTTCTTCCATTTTCGATTTGCATGACAAGTATTGAGTCTGGCCCCTTTCAAAGAACAACTCAATCCTCTACTTGTCTTGGATCTCATCTCAGGACTTTCACTCTCTAAACAGCTTGTATGTTTACCACCAACTGGAGTTATTACCGGCCCCCTCCTGCCTTGGATCCTCTGGGGCACTATGGATAGAACGAAACAATAAGGTTTTTAGTGATCAAGCCTTTACAGAGGAAGAGACGATTGTTAAAGCAATCCAGGATGCTAAAGAGTGGCTCGCAGCCAAGTATCACCACCCAAAGAATCTATCCCCAACAAGAGCAAATATCTAATTTACTAGAGCATGGCTTGAGATGACTCTCTGACGCTGCTTGGAGATCCAACACAATAGATGCCGGCCTAGGTTGGATAATTTGCAATCTGAACAACACAATCATAGCCCACATATTCAGGGGAGTCTCTCATATCGCAAACCCCCCCCCCTTATAGCCGAAGCTTTGGCCATTCGAGAGGTTCTGCTCCAAGGCGCGGATCGTGGGTTCCAAAACTTGAGTGTAGCTTCAGATTCCAAACAACTCATCAATTCGAGAAGCTCTCACATGGATGTATACGACATCCTACAAAACATCTTCAATCTATCCTTAGATCTAAAAATCTCATCATTTATTTTCATTCCAAGAAAGAAGAACATTATGGCCTAGGC